TAAAATATAGACGTACACTTCAATTTTACCGTACCTGCATGTAGGAGAGTTGATGGCGTAAGGGGAAGGGGAAGGAAAGAGATGTTATTGTTTGGAAAGGAAAGACATGATCGTCTCTTCATTTATAAGAATAGTATAGATCGTTGATTTTGCCATATGAAACTGAGTAGGAAGAGACAAGATCATCATGTTAAAGACAATATCATCAACAATTGCTTTTCTCTTCACTTTTTTTCTTCGAAAAAAAAAGGCACCGTACAATAAAATTGGAAATGAAAAGCACAGCACAAAATCCGAATGTCTCCAATATGGCAGTCGACTCAGATACCCTTCGGGTTAACTCGGTTCGGCTCGGTTCGGATCAGTTCAGCAATGTTGTTCGAGAACCGAAATTTTGTTTAATAACCGTGGCATTTTAATTTCGAATATTCTGTTCGAAAACCGATTTATTTTCGACATGTGAGACGTTCGAGAACCGAGGTTGCTCTCTCTCTCTCTCTCTCTCTCTCTCTCTCTCTCTCTATATATATATATATATATATATATATATATATATATATATAAACTGGCAGAATAATATACGGAATTTGAAGGACTTAACCTTCTCTTGCTTTCATCAGGGATGTGCTGTTATTTATAAACGATCAATGATCTTTGATATTGGGGCCTATAAACATTCTTTGTAGAGTAAAACATTATTATAAAACTGTCTGTCAATCCAAATAAGTTAATTCATTTTTCCATTGTATACTGATTATACATTATAAACGTCTTATAAAAAATTCATAGGATTTTTCATCTAAAAAAGTATTTTCTCCAAGAATATTATTTGAATGAACAAGTTTTCCACCTTGATTCATTATCAGCCATTTTAAGTAAAAATTGATTAAACAGAGGTTATGAAACCGCATCAGATCCATTTTGTTCAGCTTCACGGTAGCGAGAAAAAATAAAGTAATGAATTCTATAAAACGATCAACTTGATGAGCTACATAACAAAAGCTACTGTTTACGATTAAAATGACTGTAAGAATAAGGCCTGATTAAAATGAATGTAAGAATAGGGTCTGATTAAAATGACTGTAAGAATAAGGCCTGATTAAAATGAATGATTAAAATGACTGTAAGAATGATTAAAATGTCTGATTAAAATGACTGTATTAAAATGAATGTAAGGCCTGAAATTAAAATAAATGTAAGACTATAAGGACCAATTAAAATGAATGAATGATTAAAAATGAATAAAATAGGGTCTGAATATAATAAATGATTAAAATGAATGTAAGAATAGGGCCTGATTAAAATGAATGTAAGAATAAGGCTTGATTATAATGAATGTAAGAATAAAGCCTGAATATAATGAATGTAAAAATGAAAATTAAAATGTAAGAATAAGGCCCATTATATTAATGTAAGAATAATGAAAACAGATGTAAGAATAAGGCCCAATTATAACGAATGTAAGAATAAGGCCTGATTAAAATGAATGTAAGAATAAGGCCTGATTAAAATGAATGCAGGAATAAAGCCTGGTTATAATGAGTGCATGAATAAGGCGTGATTATAAGGAATGTTAGAATAAGGACTGATTATAATGAATCTAAGAATAAGGCCTGATTAAAATGAATGTATGAATAAGGCATGACTGTAATGAATGTATGAATAAGGCATGACTGTAATGAATGTATGAAGAAGGCTTGATTATGATGAATGCAAGATTAAGGCCTGAAATAAGGCAAATATATATATATATATATATATATATATGTGTGTGTGTGTGTGTGTGTGTTGCGCGCGCGTGCACACACACGCACACACTCTGAGAGAGCGACTGTTGACGAGATGCCAGAACAGGGCCAATTATATTGCATATCCGCTTCTGGAGCTTATCAAGAACCCTGAGGCAAACAGAAGGGGCTCCAGGCCATATATATAGCAATACTCCATGCAAGAGCGAATTGTTGATTTGTAGATCTGAAGGATCGATTCAGGGAGAAAAAATTTGCTGGCGCGGCACAGGGAGCCAACTTTCCTTGCGGTGGATATATATATATATATATATATATATATATATATATATATATATATATATATATAAGGTGGGGAACTACCTATTTTTCGAATATGTTTCTTTGAATATGGCAGACAAAGAAAATTTGATGATTTTTTTTTTTCTATTGAAATTTTCTAGTGTTCTTAATTTTTTCTCTTTGGTAAAGGACTGTAAATATTGTCCCAAGATTTTTCGAACAATTCTTTAACCATTTGCCAAGAGTTTGTAGTTAATTGTTGTTAATTTCGTTTCACTGTTGTCTTTTAAGTTGTAACTGTGAGATGTGTATGGAATGGTAGTAGCGTTTATGTGTATAAATCCCTAGGTAGTATAAGACGCGGTTTTAAAAAGCAGAGAAATTCCAGAGGGTGAATTGCTTATTTTCATGTATAAAACGCACCCGATTTTTGACGAAACAAAATGACCGAAACTTGTGAAAAAGGAAGAGTGAGAGAAAAAAATCGGGACATTTTATTTACTTTTGTAATTCTTAAAATTACGAAAACATGATTATGACTCTTTGGGTATAAGACCACAAAACCGCCAATACACATTGGGAAAATAAATGAAAATGAAATTGAACAAAATTGTATGGATAAACCATCAGTTACCTCCCCTTAAGATCTAGGAGGTATAAAAAGGACCCTGTTATGTCCGTCAGTAGACGAATAGTCAGAGTAAAGTGTAATAAAGCTTTGGTATAAGTTTATTCTCTGGTTTTGATTTTACCACACAAATATTAACTTTTTTGTTTAGATTTCATATTTTGTGATAATCTGAGGTATTTTATATTTTTTGTCGTAAATTAAATAAGATGTTTATATTTGAATGATTTCCAAAGTAAAATTTTGTCAATCTGTTTTCTTCTTCATTCTTCTTCTGTTACCATTTCTTCCTGAAAGGTTTCTTCATTTTCTTCTTTTCCCTCTTTCTTTCCTCTTTTTCCTGAAGGATTTCTTCATTTTCTTTTCTTTCGTCTCTAATTTCTCTTCTTTCTTTTTTATTCATTGTCCTTCATTAATTCTTTTCCCTCTCTTTTTCCTCTTCTTCCTGAAGGATTTCTTCATTTTCTTCTTTTCCCTCTTTTTTTCCTCTTCTTCCTGAAGGATTTCTTCATTTTCTTCTCTTTCGTCCCTAATTATTTCTCTTTTTTTTTATTCATTGTCCTTCATTACTTCTTTCCCCTCTTTTTTCCTCTTCTTCACGTCAACTTCTGCTTCTAATATTTTGCTCTTCCTTTTCCCCTTATTCCTCTTCTTTTTAGCCTTTTTCTTTTTATCTTCTCTTTCTACTATTTCTTCTCTTTGTTTCGCATTTCCAGTTATTGCTTTTCTCTTTTTTTTTCTATTCTTCCAGCTCATGAATTTTTCTATTGGGCTTTTTATTTCTGCCCTTTCTTCTCTTTATTCTTGTCCCATTACTAAACATGTCAACAATTTCGTCTTTCTTTACTCACTCTGTTTTTCTTCCATTTTTTCCCTCCTCTTCCTCCCGTCTCCGATTTGTTTCCTTGCTCATTTTTCGTTATCTTTTCATTGTTTTCTCTTTTCTCCTTCCTCTTCTTCTCTCTGAAGACATTTCTCTTATTTCTTTCTTATCCCCGATGTTTTCTTTCTTCTTACCTTTAGATTCCTTCATCAGACCTCCGATCGATTTTTCTCACCTTATTTGCTGCCTTTTCATTTCTACTTTTTCTTCTTCTCTTTTCTCCCTGCCGATTTTTCTTCCTCTTTCAGAGGAAGGCCTTTTATTTTCTTGATTTCGTTTCTTCGTGTCAACCATTTCTTATTTTTTGTTTTTTTCTCGACATCTTTTTATTACCGCCATGTTTTTATCATTTTATTTTATATCCGTTTCTTCATTAAATTTAACCTTACTAGTCTCTTCTTCATTCTTTTTGTCCTTACTAATTTCTATTTCTTCTTCTTTTTTCCTTCTTCTTCATGTTTTTTTCTTTTTGTTTTCTTCTGCTGTTACTGCTTCTTCTTTTTGTTGCTTCTTCTTCTTATTTCCTTCTTCTTCATGTTTTTTCTTTTTGCTTCTTCTTCTACTTCTTTTCTTCTTCTTCTTCGTCTTCTGCTATAGCTATTTCTTATTCTTCATGCTTTTTCTTATTACTTTTTATGCTTCTTTTCTTCTTCTTCTTTTTTTCTTTGTTTTCTTTTTCTGATATTAATGCATCTTTTTCTTCTTGTTGCTTCGTTTTCTTGTTGCTTCTTCTTCTTCTTTCTTTCTTTCTTCTGGCTCATGTTTTTTCTTTTTGCTTCTTCTTCTGCTTCTTTTCTTCTTCTTTTTTCTTCTTCTTCTTCTGCTACTGCTGATGCTATTTCTTCTTCTTCATTCTTTTTCTTCTTACTTCTTCTTTCCTCCTTCATGATTTTTCTTCTTCTTACTTCTTTTTCTTTTTCTACTGTTACTGCGTCTTCTTACTTCTTGTTGCTTCTTCTTCTTCTTCTTCTTCTTCCTTCATGTTTTTCTTTTGCTTCTTCTTCTGCTTTTCTTTTTCTACTACTACTACTACTACTACTACTACTGCTTCTTACTACTTCTTCTTGCAGCTTCTTCTTCTTCTTCTTCTTCTACTTCTGCTTCTTCTTACTAATTCTATTTCTTTACTCCTTCTTCTTTTTTCTTCTTTTTCTTTTTCTACTGTTTCTGCTTCTTCGTACTTCTTGTTGCTCCTTCTTCTCCTTCTTCATGTTTTTCTTCTTCTTCTTCTTCTTCTTCTTCTTCTTTCTTTAATCTCCTAAGTGACCTGTCCAAATTCTTTTCTGAAATCACTGTCGCTACCGCAATCAAATATTTTCTACTTTGGCCTTTTCCCTTTGTTGATTCGAAACACCCCAATTCCGCCGCTCGCTACGTGGAGGGCCGGCGAAGAGTCAACTGGTGGAATATCATTTATCTGTTGTTGCGGATCGTAATGTTTGCTGGGGGAGGGTGGAGGTCAAAATAAACACGGCTTAAAAAATGTAAGAAGAAAAATGCTTAATAGGGACGGAGAGTGGGGGAGGAGAGAAAGTTGGGGAGAGGGAGAGAGACGAAGAGAGACAGAGAGAAAGACGTAAATGTAGTCGATCGCTATGAATTCGTCCTTTGACAATAGGTTATTTAAGTCGTAGGGCTTTCTTTCCCTCTTTTTTTTGTCAATAAACCCTCCCACCAAAACCATAACCCTTAACTGATAAAATTATCTATCTATCTATCTCCCATTTCTCTCTCTCTCTCTCCACACACACACACACATATATATATATATATATATATATATATATATATATATATATATATAGTGTAACCCGGATATAAGAGAGTTGTCGGGACCGGAGAAGAAGTCTCTTATATCCGGGTTTCTCTTATATCCGGGTTTGGTCTATTTTGTTTATGTAAGTATGGGCTCTAATTTGGGACCAGAAAAATCTCTCTTATATCCGGGTTTCTCTTATATCCGGGTTACACTGTATATATATATATATGTTTGGTTAGATATGGTGAAAGTTCTTTTAAGGATTTTCATTTATTTTTTAATATTTCGGCTCAAAAGAACTTTTTGTAAGTCTCTAACCAAACGTATATATATATATATATATATATATATATATATATATATATATATATAGAGAGAGAGAGAGAGAGAGAGAGAAGTCAGTATACAGAGGTGACAGTCTGTTTCATACTAATCGAAATTGTCAGGTCTGACGATTGCCTTTGGCATGAAACATACTGTCGCCTGTGTATGTTGACTTCATTGTGTACTTTTATATTTACATACGCTCTATCCCTGATATAGAGCACTTTAACCCATAAATATAACATACCATAAAACTATATCTTATCATATATATATATATATATATATATATATATGTGTATATGTGCATATATATATATATATATATATATGTATATGTGTGTATATATATATATATATATATATATATATATATATATATATATATATATACAGTGTAACCCGGATATAAGAGAGTTGTCGGGACCGGAGAAGTCTCTTATATCCGGGTTTTATATCCGGGTTTGGTCTATTTTGTTTATGTAAGTATGGGCTCTAATTTGGGACCAGAGAAAATCTCTCTTATATCCGGGTTTCTCTTATATCAGGGTCTCTTATATCCGGGTTACACTGTATATATATATATATATATATATATATATATATATATATGCTCAGTATAATAATTGTGGTGGGTGTATATTGATAAAAAATAAGGACGAAAACAATACGACTTCAGTTATGGTCAAAGGACGATTTTATTTTATCATCTGTCTCTCTCTCTCTATCTCTCTCTCTCTCTCCCCTTCCCTCTCTCCATTAAGCATTTTCCTTTTTACTTTTTTAAGCCATGTTTATTTTTACCTCTACCCTCCTCCAACAAACATTATGATTCGCAACTCCAGGTCAATGATATTCCACTAGTTAAGTCTTTGTCGGTCCTGTACGTAGCAAGCGGGAATCTTCCTGATTTCCGGTACATATTTAAATATAAATTATCTAATTTTCTGAGTTATTGTAGTGATGATGTATTCTACAAACTTTCGAGCCATTTGAACACGAAAATAATTAACGATATATTTCGGAATATAAGAAGCATTCTTATTTTGAAATTTGGGAAAAATCCTATAGTCGTATTTGAAAGATGTTTTATTAAAAAACTGACTTCAATCTGATATTTAAAAATTTGCTTGTTGTAAACACAAAAGAGGCCAAAGCATCAAGGTAAGAGAACATCGTAAAAAAAATAAAGTTACTGTTAGTTTGGTCTAAAAATCTATCGCTTGTAAAGAAATCATACATTTCGTCATTGGATTCAGTATTATGATAAAAGAGAATGTCACCCTTGATCCAAACCATTGCAATATAGATCCCACATTTCTTAAATAACTTAATCAATATAACATTTTTTTCGACGAATTTTTCCCACATTTGCACACCTGATCAAACTTCGGACTTTTCCTTCGTTCTTTACGGGTTGTAGCGACATCTTTTTATTCTTAATTGCATTAATCCCTGTGACTGGTTAAGCTGATTATCATATGGATTGTTTATATTATATAAAAGCCTAGAATTCACCCTTCAGGCGGACTTTAGACTAGCTCCTGCAAAAGCTTTTTTGGACCTTAGGGCTTTTACCATCAGCGTCCTATGTACGTAAAGTTATAAGAATTTATAAATGATAAAATTATTTTATCTTTATTCGACGCCTTAATTCGGCATAATCTTTCTTCGTATACGCAACCGGTCTCTTTAATTTTTTGTTTACATTTATTTTGAGCGCAATTTTTTTTTTTAAATCACCATTCTTTATAATCTCTTCGCATAAATCACTCTTAAAAGACATTAGGGAACTGGAACTATGTAATATTTCGAATACGTCACAATACGCGTGCTAGAAAATGAAAAAAAAAAAAAAATGAGCAACGTACCGTGCCCCGCTTAAGGTTTAATTACGTTTCAATTTGACGATATCAATTGCAATTGCGACGAAAAGTGAAATTAAAGTTAAACCTTTAATAAAGAATTGTTGTTTTTTTTAAACCTTTCACTCTGTTCGATATTAAAATTTAACTTTAAATGGGTTATTTATTTAATTTTTTATCGCGTGTTGCTACAGTAGTTACTCCCTGTTACTTCAGGTTGTTTAGGATTCATTGAGTTCGAAAAACGGACGGACACACATACACTGCGCTTTATTTATATAGATGTGTACCCTCACACACATATATATATATATATTTTGAACAATAAAAAATATTAAAAAATTAAAATCTTCAGACACACTGGGTTGTAGATTAATATTCTTTCGTTTTTATTATTATTATTATTATTTCATTTAGATTCCTCGACTAGTTTCGGCCAAAATGGCCATCATCGGGAGAAGAAATGTTTCTGCTTGCTGGTAGCAGTAAACTACAGAAATGAATGTCTTGCTGGAGAAAATGAACTTTTGTCTGTAGTTTTCATTTGTTTTTTTTAATTTTTTTATCTTTTTAACATGAATCTTTTAACATTCCTTGTGTTGGTCAAACAGTCTCTTTTAAGTTGTTATTTGAGATAAGAGCTGGATGGACCTATGCTTAGGATATTACACCGAAACCATCTAAAATCCCTACAAAATTGCAGTCGTGTTTCAATGCATATATATATATATATATATATATATATATATATGAAAAAAAATATACGGAAAAAACAAACATTAAAACAGCATAATTGCATATATATTAGGATTTTTGTTTGTTTGTTTTATATATATATATATATATATATATATATATATATATATATATATATATATATATATATATAGCATAATTGCATATTAGGATTTTTGTTTGTTTTATGCAATTATATATATATATATATATATATATATATATATATATGAAGAAAATATACGGAAAAAACAAACAAAAATCCTAATATGCAATTATGCTGTTTTAATGTTAATATAATGTCAACGTCGGACGTTTCGGTTAATAGACCATCTTCAGGACATATTCATAAAATATAATTAACATTAGACCGAAACGTCCGACGTTGACATTATATTAACATTAAAACAGCATAATTGCATATTAGGATTTTTGTTTGTTTTTTCCGTATATTTTTCTTCATAGTGTCGGATCTATATCCATATATTCGCTTACACACACACACACATATATATATATAAATATATATATACTTGTTATTCATACTTTCGGTTTAAAGACGGGAGCAAATTTTGACATTAAATTTTGGTGCACATAGTGCGTCTTATACGCCGAAAATTGCTTTATTTAACATAACTCTTTGAATTAGAAACGATACAGATATCCTTACTTGTTAGGACACTGCTCACAAACGGTAGCCGCAAAAGTCCGTACAGCTATTGCATTGTGAACTCTGTTAATTTTCCTTGAACTTTCGTGGTTCTATTAATAACAATAACAATTCTATCGACTGGAATATGTAAATATTAACTGAAAGGTAATTTGAAATTTTCACCGTCTAATGATTTTCACCGATCTATATGATAAATATTTACCATCTAATTAAGTGCATTGACAAGGAAGGGAATTATGTTGAAGATAAATAACTGTTGTGGAAAAAATGCTTTTTTTTTCGCTATTCGCTTACACATGTCTATGTGTGCGATGTGTGGGTAAGCATTACTTCCAAGCCACAAACTGGGATAGATTTCAATTTTTATTATAGCTTTAGTTTTTTGATATAATAAGGTGTTTTCATGATTCACGCCGCTTGAACTTAAGGACTCTCTTTGTCTGTGGGCCTACCCGTCTCTCTCACCCCACCTCTCTCAGGCACCCGCGCGCCTGCACACACACACACACACACACACACACACACACACACACACACACACACACACACACTAAGAGCTTACCGATACAGATTTCTCAAACACGTATAGTGCCGGCCAAACGAAAGGCTTACAGCTAGGCTAGATATGAACTCAGATACTCAGATAGTTAAATAGAAATTAACATAATCATAGCAGCAAACTACCCGCATTCCATCCGTATTCAATCGGTGAGAAGTAAATTCCACTCGACCGGCTTCTTCTCGAGAACCACTTCTCTGTTGAAAAGACTCCCAAGAGGATGTTTCCCCGATCACTACAATCCTAACCTGTTCAAGTCTAGAGTTAACCGTTATCTTCCCCTCCTGTTCGTATAAACTACTCCTGTACATAACTCACTACCACGAGTGGCGCTCAGGCCTTGTATAGGGCGAACCTTTTTTTTTTAAATAAAAAAGCTTTTTCTTTGAGTTTTACGAAGAATCTCTAAATAAATAGCAGAAGCACCAGATATGACGACTACAGTATTCATTGCATGGACAAATGGTAGACTTACAGATGGCAATTTTCCAAGCGTAGCTCAGATGTGGCACAAGGTCGAAAGTATGGGGGCACCCAGTGAGGATCGAACTCACTACTCAGTCGTAATTGTTCAAGCGAGACAGGCTTGTTAACCATTACACCACCTCGAGGTGTCCTGGTAGCCTTAGATAGATTCTGGTAAGAAACATTGATAGATATATGATAGATTCTGGTAAGAAAAATTGATAGATTGATAGATTCTAGTAAGAAAAATTGATAGATAAATGATAGATTCTGGTAAGAAAAATTGATAGATTGATAGATTCTGGTAAGAAAAATTGATAGATAAATGATAGATTCTGGTAAGAAAGATTGATAGATTGATAGATTCTGGTAAGAAAAATTGATAGATAAATGATAGATTCTGGTAAGAAAAATTGTTAGATTGATAGATTCTGGTAAGAAAAATTGATAGATAAATGATAGATTCTGGTAAGAAAAATTGATAGATTGATAGATTCTGGTAAGAAAAATTGATAGATAAATGATAGATTCTGGTAAGAAAAATTGATAGATAAATGATAGATTCTGGTAAGAAAAATTGTTAGATTGATAGATTCTGGTGAGAAAAATTGATAGATAAATGATAGATTCTGGTAAGAAAAATTGATAGATTGATAGATTCTGGTAAGAAAAATTGATAGATAAACGATAGATTCTGGTAAGAAAAATCGATAGATAAATTATAGATTCTGGTAAGAAAAATTGACTAGTAGGACACGGGGAACCAACTTTCCTGGCTGCTCCTTACCAAAGGAATACGAAAGGAAATAAAAATGGTTTGGCTCCGTGAATGTGGCATGATGGTTCTGTTGTGACTTCTGGTCTGAAGTGAGACTATTGCAAAAATGATTCTAATATTGAACATATCGCCATTGTTTATCAATATTCGATGAAAATCAGGTTTGAATTATTCGCTATTTATGACAGGCGTGAAGACAAAAAAAGCTAAATGTCAGGTCATTTCCGTCTCTACTGTTGCCTATCAACATTTGTTGATTTTTTTTTTTTTGTTGGGGGGTTGCTTTATGACACGCAATTTGAGTTTTAATTTGTCGAGCGATTGATAGATGGAAATAGGTAATTATATCGATTGATTTATGTACACATGTATTCCGTTGATATATGAATACGCAAATATCAATAGGTATTCCGACGTCGACTTTATATTAACATTAATACAGCATAATTGCATATTAAGATTTTTGTTTGTTTTTTCTGTATTTTTCTTCATACTGTCGGATCTATATCCATATATTTGCTTACATACTGTCTACTGGAAATACAAACCTGAATTTACTTTATAACATGGAAGACTTGAAGCTTGTACGAAAATATAAGAATCTATTGATCAAGTAAGGAAAGGATTTATTAGCGAACTGTTTTTTAAAATTGTTCCATCGTTTTTTAAATCATTTTTGATTTGCTTTGTAACGTGAAGGACTTCAAGCTTGTATGAAGATATAAGAACCTATTGATCTCTGCGTATTCCTATATCAACGGAAGGGATTTCTTGAACTGTTTATATAAAATAGTTCAATCGACTTTTTTAGTACACATGTATATAAACATTATGAAGAAAAATACAGAAAAAACAAACAAAAATCTTAATATGCAATTATGCTGTATTAATGTTAATATAAAGTCGACGTCGGACGTTTCTGTCTATTTTAGACCATCTTCATGGACATTTTTATTTAAGCATAATTAACATAATTACGTATTCCGATATCAACGGAAGGGATTTCTTGAACTGTTTATATAAAATAGTTCAATCGACTTTTTAATATTTTTTAATATTTTAATATTTGGAAATCATCTTCGAATACGTTTTAACAACATCGCCAAGTGACGACTACGTGATCATATTTAAACGGAACGCTGATCTTATATAAAAATTTCAGTTATCTGTTTGGATTAGTTGTCTTTTGTGTTAAATTTTTATATGTTCTAATGTTAATTATGTTTAAATGAAAATGTCCATGAAGATGGTCTTAAATAGACCGAAACGTCCGACGTCGATTTTATATTGACATTAATACAGCATAATTGCATATTAAGATTTTTGTTTGTTTTTTCTGTATTTTTCTTCATACTGTCGGATCTATATCCATATATTTGCTTACATATAACATTATGTAAAAAATATATAGATCTTAATCAAATGAGATAGATATAAGACTGTGATACACAGATGTAAACAGTATGAAATATATTCGCCAGGCCTAACCTTTAGGGCAAGGACCCGACATGCCACTTACATTGTAGCAAACTACCCACATACCCTGTATTCCATCGGTGAGAAGTAAATTCCACCCGAACAGCTTCTTCCCTGGAACCACAGCTCTGTGGAAAAGACAACCAAACGGATGTTTTCCCGATCGCTACAATCCTAACCTGTTCAAGTCTAGAGTTAACTTCCCCTCCTATCCGTATAAACTACCCCTTAACGTAACCGTCTACCTCGACTGCCTCTCCGAGCCGTGTAAAGGGTGCACCTTACTGTAAAAAAATATAATTACCCTAATTTCCAAGCCTGGGAACCTTTTCAAATTTTATTTTCGGTTGTGTTTTCATGACCCAACAAAACTTAAAGTCTTACGGCGATATTACGTTGAAATATCGGTTCCTGTACGATCTCCGAAGTTAAAGAACGCCGAACCTGGTCAGTACCTAGTGTAAAGTGAGTCTTCTAGATAACGTGATTGTGGTATAACCAACATACATATTAACGTTTTTGTCGGAGATGGAATATCCCAAGGGGTATTTAAATTGATATATAATTTTTTTTTTGTTGCAATACTTTGTTAATTTGTGGAGAGGAATTATTACGGATGATTAAGTTATTAGTATTAAATTTAGTATAGTATATAATTAATTATATATAAAGATTTAAAATCGGTTTCATATTCTAATCTATATTAGAAAGTCCGTTTCATAAAATACTATAGTACACTTTTACATTCCATGAAGAATTGTCTCCGAGCACAGGAAGTTTTCGTCTTAGAAACATTAACCTAACCCCGCTAGGTTAACCGTTAGAATTCGAATTCTATGATTCGACGGAATTCCATTGGTTGAATTTGTCCTTTTTTAGTTTATCTTGCCTACCTGCCCGCCTTTTTTTTTCTCAACCTTTATTTCCTTTTCTTGACCTTTTTTCTCTTAATTCTCTTCGCCCTCTCGCTGTTACTAATCACTTAGCTTCCTTTCTTTCTCTACATGTAAATTATTTTTTTTTACCTTTTATATGACGGAAGTAGAAGATGTGCTTCGTTAACTGCATTTCGAAATAAAATATTTTAGTAGCATCGTGACTTCCCACCTGATGAAATGTTGAAAAATAATTTTAATGTTGAAACAAGATGTACAGTTCTGTAGTGGGTATGTGCATATTCTAATGTAACATTGCATAATATATATATATATATATATATATATATATATATATATATATATATAAAAAAAAAAATAGGAAACGTTCATAAATTTAACATGTTTCGTATTTATTTAACCTTAATCAGAAAATGAATTAGAAAAAAAAAACGTCTGGTATATTTTATTTTTACATTGTTCAGACTGTTGCCATACTGTTATAGTGGAACACACCTGTTCTATAGTTAATAGACTCTCCCACCTATAATAAGTAGGAGTAGTAGAAGTCGCTCACGGGGGTCAGTCAGTCGACTGGCTGATCGGTTGAACTCTCTGCCTTCGGGCGGAGTCTCTTTCGGGGAGGTAAACCGAACCTGAACCCGTTTATACGGGTTCAATGGGCATATTTTTGGCCGAGCTCACGAGCTCGGAGATCCCACGTTAAAAAGGCCTTGTGCCACATGACGCCCTCGTGAGGGGGGGGTGACTGAATATCGTCAGTTAGTCGATGCCGGACGACCGTTAGTCGGATACTAAAGTATCAGCGACCGCAACTAGATTTACTCTGCGTCAAGTTCCTAACGTTTTGTACGTCGAACCTATTTTAGGACCGACTTAGTACAAATACAAGCCCCCACTGTGAAACCACTACATAACACATACCCACTTCATTTCGGCCTTCTTTAGGGGACTGGAATTTCAAACTGAACCCTTTATTTCATCCACGGGGGTAGTTTTTTCTCGAGTTCCACGTCTCACTACCAGTTATTAACTCAATTCTCCAAGATTTTGTTCAGCTCTTTTTGATATTGAACTCACAACTCTTTGGTTCAAGTCACTGGATTCAATCAACATTTCTATTCATTGGGCCATGTGCCCTTGAGGACATCAATGTATGACTTATAAACCTAATGACTCAACAACTATTTTACCAGAGCTCATATTACAATTTTGTTGTTGTTATTGTTTTTCTCTAGCACACTGTATTACTGGTCCTCATATTGTATTCATTTCTATGTTTGGCCGGCTTAAGAGATTTTTGTCGCCTAGCATATGTGCTGATTCCTTAAGTTTTCGTATTTTCTATTATTTCAACCACATCCCACTGGGGTGGGGTGATGATCTCCCGTTAACATCCATATATGCTCAGCCACGCCTGATTTTTTTTATTTCTTCTCGTGTTACGGCTTTACGGTATTCCTGCAATCTGATCTTAAGGGGTCGGCCTGTTTCTCCTTTATATTTCTCACCACAGCTGCTTGGGACAGCGTACACACAGTTCTTGATCATGTTCTCCTCTATGGGAGGTCTTACTCGGAAGAGGTGTCTGCGAAGTTTGAAGGTCGAATGTTATTTGAACCACAGATCTTTTGTATTTTTTTCATATAATCCCTGCTTTCTGAGTGTTGTTTTTCTCTTGAACCCTTCTATCAGAGTTTTTCAGAGCTACTGTCATGTAACCAGCCTAGTTAAAGAAGACCGGAACGTACAACGACTGAAGCATCATGAATATGGCAATTAAGATGAAGACAACAGCCCGAAAAATGTAAATAATTACAAAACCTCATCTCAGAAATAGAGACAGATATATTATTTTTGTGTTTATTTTTCATTGTCACGAAAGTTTCTTCTATCAAACAATATTTGTGCGTTTTATTCTTGTGTGATTGTGCATCACAATTCTAGTTGATATATGTGGGATTTGTTTGCTAATGTCAGTGCGTGCCTGTGTGCGTACGTGTGTGTGCGTGCGTTCATCTGTGTGTGCACACGTTGCTACGTCTTGTGGGCATTTTTATTTATGTCTGGTAATGTCCGTACGTTGATAAGTGTGAGAGGGATAGAATTAATTCTAGTTGATATATGTGGGATTTGTTTGCTAATGTCACGTCCTGTGTGCGTGCATGTGCGTGCATGTGCGTTTTTTCTTCTTCGTCTTGGGCATTTTTATTCATGTCTAATGCCCGTACGTTGATTAGTGTGAGAGGATAGAATTAATTCTAGTTGATATATGTGGGATTTGTTTGCTAATGTCAGTGCGTGCCTGTGTGCGTGCATGTGCGTGCATGTGCGTGCGTTCATGTGTGCGTGCACACGTTTCTTCGTCTTGTGGGCATTTTTATTCATGTCTGGTAATGCCCGTACGTTGATTAGTGTGAGAGGGATAGAATTAATTCTAGTTGATATATGTGGGATTTGTTTGCTAATGTCAGTGCGTGCCTGTGTGCGTGCATGTGCGTGCATGTGCGTTCATGTGTGCGTGCACACGTTTCTTCGTCTTGT